AATTTTTGGCAACTATTTGTGTAACTTCGCTCATTCTGAGAACACTTACAATCTTTGGAGGCTCGTTTGGATCGAGAGTTTTCAGTAACTCCTTGGCCACTTCATATTCCGATTCATCTGCTGACAGCTTTGCACCGTTCTTAGCTGGATACGGTTCAAGGGCCTGCAAATAAAACCTTTAAAAAGCCTTATTTGATGGGGCTTTTGATGATGTTAAGATGTGAACCAAATTCTTCTCCAGTAAGGACACGATATCGAATCGAAGAGAGATACATGGCGTATCTCCATAAAAGAGTAATGAACCCCGAGCGCGCTCTGTTTGGCTTGGGGGGGGGAGGAGCATTTTGCACCTTCGTTACTTTCTTGTGCTAGATCCTGTTAACTTACACGTCTCCTACCTTGGTGAGATCTGTAAGCCCTTGTCAAGTGTAGACGAAGCTCATGCTAGTGCATACCTTGACAGGGATCTACAGGTCTCTTCAGGAAACATTAGCAGTGATCTATGGCGCCAGCAAAATGCCCCCACCAAGCCGATGTGCGCCCATATGAAAATTCATTTACCTGCATCCTACTCAACAGTCCCATACCGCTCGTTCGCCAATGTTGCAACGCCTCGGGAAATCGTCTCACAAACACCAGCTCCATGTCCATTTCTCCAAGCAGGCTGTAAAAGAAGATAAAAATCTTTTCTGAACTGAATCCAAAAATCACGGAAAATTATTTTAATCCTATTGAATTGACATTTTTCACAGCTGCGTCACCATTCACAAGAATAACGAGTTGTATAGAGAATTTGACCGCAGCAGAGCCCCAGACCCGAACATCGAGCTATTTGAATTTGTGCGCTCTATATGGCTGGGGAGCACAACCAAGGGCAAACTAGTAGACTGAATCCTCAGGTCTATCACAAGTACAGCAGTCGTTTTAAGTGGTTGCAACAAAGTTATTTGAGGCCAACTGCAAGAAATCAATAAATCACAAATATTCAAATCGGTAAGCTATTTTCGCAGTTCAGGTTTTCATTGAATCACAAAAATACCTAGATCTTACAACTCGTAATTATTTCTACTTCCTTTTCCTTGTGTGTTTTCTTATTTCTGAGATTTGAAATCTTAAACTCTCTAATTAACTAGAGATCTACTTGAAAGATTGAGGTATCTGATTGAAATACCACTTATTTACGTTCACGTGGTATTCAAGAAACAACCCACAGACCCCTGCATGAAAAAAATTATATTTCCCGAAACACAGCGTTTCAGTGAGTGAATCGGAACCTAAAAAAGACCCCACACAATCCAGTTTCAAATTGAACGCTACGAGATTTGAAGCTCGGGATGAGAGGGCTTTTAATGCCGCTAATAAGAATGCAGCTCTCTGAAACCCGTCGTAGAATGAGGGAATGTGCAGTTGATGAAAATGGTTGTGAGCGTACCGGTATAAGTGCCGCAAGTCGACACGGCTAACGCATGTGGTTCGCCTTCGAAAAAATAACATTAAAATGATTACCTCAGGTACGGAAACTTGGAGTCTCATCTTTCTCCCCCCCCCCTCCCCTCTCCACCTCTCTCAAGTTTCTATGTGAAGCTCGGGCAGCAGTTTAACACAACACAGAACAGACCACAAATCCTTTACGTCGTATTCGTACCTCCTTACATATGAAGTGTATCCAAATGGCACTTCTAGACTTGGCATCATAGATCCGCGCTAAGAGGCAGCTCGTTCCCTTATCTGCCCGTACCACACCACCTCCGAGCTAATTATTCGGCCCGAAGCTGGCGTATTAGCCAAGCAGTAAATCACATAAAAAACACTACATCCCACCGCATCCGCGTTTAGCACCACTACAAAAAAAGTCCATGAATGGGTTCGGTTGACTGGTACACATTTAGGTATACCTCCAGTCTGCCTGACTGTGCAGCAGTCCCAAAAAGGCGCTTCATCCTAAAGGAGAGCAGCTGCTTTGAAATTCAAGACTGCATGAGACAGCAGGACTACTACTTCTCAGAGGATCGAGCTTTGAAAAGTGAGGCACTTCTCGTCACTGGACAAAACATGGAACAGGAATAGAGTTTGCCACAAATTGAAGAACTGTACTGAATACAGCTGTGCCAAAGAAAATTTAGCCCAAAGAATCTGGTACCACATGGTCGTCCACGGAGGGCAGAAGGCTTTGTTGACCTGGATAGTACCCGATCCAGGATTTGATTTCCGAGCCGCGCACGCAGTATAAGAGTGTCGCCTGGCACTGCACCGCCTCCGTCTCAAATGCACGTCTACTCTTCAAAATAAGGGCTCGAAAGAAGCCACCTCGCAGATCAGAGAAATTTTCGATGAAATTCCTTGTCGGGCTGGGCCTTAGGGATTAGTGCAGTAAATTAGTTTCAAAAATAGGCTATCTTTGCATTTCAACCCACAGGTACGCGCTCGTAACACTCCAGCTCTGGTCATCGATATAGGCAAGATAGTGATTTCTTAGAAAAGCATACTATATTTTACGTCTGAGAAATGAAGTTTATTTCTGGAATTTGTCGTTCGAGGCGCGGCATACCCTCCGGCTTGACGTGCCGTAGTTCTACTCACTTCATAGTTTGTCGGATGACTGTGCGACCTAACGCCTCCCACTCGAGTTAGAGGGGTCCTGCAGTGAAAGTGTCTCAATCGTGATTATGCAATAGCTACCAACGATCCATTCTCGGCTCCGGCATCTTGCCTCGTGAGAATCATGTCAGATTCAGAATATCAGGAAAACTTGTTTGAATCACCTTAGTGATACGTGCTGGGCACATGGGAACAAACTAAATGGCGGCTGTTTTAAGTAAAATCAATGATTTCGGTACCACTGACAAGTAGTTCAACTTATAGAAGAGAAAGCTTGTGCCACACAGTCTGATGAGAGCTCTGAGGACTGTTCTATGCTCTGAACAACAGTATTCTATACAAGGTTGAAGAATCTGAAGTAAAACGAGCAAAGACTGAAATTGCAGCTACCGTACGGCATGGTGTAGCCAGTTGCCGGCTACCGTATCACAGCGATGAGCGACGATGGAACCAGTTCAACACGCACCCCGCTGACTGTAATCACCGCTCGTCACCATTCACTTTGGTTTTTCTTACGCTTTTTCTTGACGTTACGAGATTGGCCCTCATCGCGTGTGCGCGCACACGACTCATGCTGAACTACCTGTCGTTATTGTTTCTGTAGTTATGCAATTGGTTTCGAACGGACAGTCCTTAGCAATAAAAAATCTGGCACAAGCCAATGACCTCCACCTCGTTTCGGCCATTAAGCCACTGACTGCTCATTCGACTTCAGCAGCAGTCTGTCATTAACAATGGCGTATCCTGCTGCACGGAAGGTGGCTGTACCCCTTCCTACACCCTATCATTCACGATCACCAGTGATAAACAACACAAACAGCTCCTACCACGAAATAAGCCCCTGCTTTGGAGTGCACTAGAAATCAGTCCATCGAAAATTTTGTGGTGTAAAGCAACACTAAACTACCAAAGTAAATTAAATGGACATGCTAACCATCCCCAAGGCTGGATACGCCGCATGAACGTGACGGTGACAGGTCCATCGGGAAACTTGCACGGCTCCCGGATCCAGCTAAAATGGGTCTTCTTCGCCGCTGAGATCATTAAAGGCATATGACACGATGTAATGCTAGCACGGCGCTATATATTAGGAAAAATTGAGAAAAAACGAAGCAAAACGTTCAAATTCTGCGAAGAAAAACCTTGTTCTTTATGACTCAGGAAGAAATTTCGGACGAGTTCCCCGTAGGCACCTTGCCAGTAAGCTCTACGGTAGGTACGGCTGCACGTATGTACTCATATATCCATGCAGCACCGTGACCGTTTCTATCAACCCCTTCGCTTTATTTTCCTCAGGAAATGAAGCAAAACGAGGTACTCAGGTACGATCGTCCATTCAACAGCGAGCGGGCGCTGAGGCCGTCCGGGTCGGTAAGTTGCAGCTTGATAGGGCCTTACAAGGGTGGCTCTTTTAGAGAAGCTACGCAGCGCCCGCTCAGGGGTGCGGAACTCCGTCATAGCGGCGTATTAATTCTACTCGTCTCAGAGATTCATCGCACCTTCAAGGTCCCTTTTCAACATGAATGGGGAACGGGAACCTATCAAGGATCTATCTACCAATCGTTTAACGAGTTTTCATTTCGACGGTGCGGTGGAACCTCTTCTTGTTCTGTGGAAGTTTCAACGCAAGTGAATACACTCAGACGTTTGATTGGTCCATTAGCATCCCTTAAATGCAACGAATTCTAAATTTGAGTGCAACTATACTAAGGCAACCGAGTAACTTTATTAGAAATATTTACCGCCAACACAGCGAGATATACCAGGCTGATGGTACCCTGACCTACCGGGAGATTCGCCCGACTTCCCAACCTCGACTTTCGAGGTGAATGCGCCTAGGCTTCAAGCATCCTTGCCCAGATTTGTGATATTGACCAGCTACACAGAAGCTGGAGGTGGAGGTGGTTCAATGGCATGTGGTCCCCCTACCACCGCGGTACGACGAGTCAAATTCCGGATCAGCCCGCTTGAACCAAGCAAGATTCGTACATTCTCTGGTCCTAACAGGCCATTGTCGCATTCAACCAATCACTGGGATTCTGAACAGAAGTGGCATGCCTGCCACATCCCTGGATGGATTGGTCAGTTGCAAACACTCTTAATTTTGGACATGTAGGCCTGACAATCACAATGAGTACGACCGCTTCTCCACTACGCACTGGCAAACCAGATTTTTCAAATTCATCTTAAGTCGCGTAACACTTTTTCAAAAAGCTCTTCATATGAACAAGAAGTCAAAACTGAATGTCCTTCATAATTCTTAGAACATTCGTGGCTGATAATGCGGCTTTTAATGCTAGGGAAGTCGTTTGAATCTTCATTCATCTGAAGTGTTGCGCGTGTCTCTAATCTACAATGGAGTAATATCCTCATCAGAAAGGTAATTTCCGCATTTGATGATATAACCCGCCACGCCCTTTACGAACGACTATTACACTGTGAAAAAAGTTGCCAAGGGGGCGATGTCCATGAGCAGCTTCTGAACGGTATGTAGGGAAATATCAGCCTATTTGGACACTTTTTTTTGGTGGCCCTGAGTTCGCAAAGATTTTGCCAGCCTGCTATAAAAGCTGAAACTTGTCCACAATTCTTGTCGTATACTCAGACGCTTTCGACTGCTCAGCTCTGAAATCAGGGAAATCAGAAAAAACACCCGTTACTCCGTGAGAAAATACTTCACGTACATAGCAACTGGCTTGCTTAACACCAGGACGCTAACGGTTAGTCATAACAATTGTGGGAATCAGAGGTGTATTGTGGAAAGACACCACTTCGGTTTGTGGCAACACCGTATGAGTATGAGGTATGAGGGAAAGCAAAACTTCGAAGTTATTACTATTTGGGAGGTGCTTGTGACTGCGACCATATCGAAGAAAACAGTGCAGTTTGGGTTCACGCGAGAAGCATACAACATGTTTGGTCTCGGAAGTAGGAGCTCTCGCCCGTTTTTAGGAACCGGCAGCAATAATTTTGACACTTTTTGACTTGGTTATCGGAAACTGGAAAGGTTTCCAATGAATTCTACCATCCGACATCAATTCAAAAGTATGTAGGTGGCCGGGTGATAGCCAGTACGTCATGTGCTCTCGTTAGCGATGGCTATTGTGCAACGGAATTATCGTAACAGCGGATAGTAAAGACCACCTTGACGGTTAGAAAAAGCGGGCGCGTTTAGGACAAGGTGTCGTCATGTAATTCAAATGGAGAATGCACTTGTCCTTTTAGGGCAGTTGGTACGATAAGACGAGTAGGATTAATACGTCTGGCAGGACGGGATTCCGCGCCCCTGAGCAGGCGCTTCTCCCAAAGAATGTACCCTTATAAAGCCCTGTCAAGCGGCAGCATACCGACCCTGACGCCCACTTCGCACGCCCGCCCACAAATGGACGACTGTACCTGATGCTCGCATTGCTTCATTCGCGATGTAAATTATGAAGCGAAGAGATTGATATGAAGCGGCCGCGGTGCTACTTGGATATATGAGTAAGTACGTGCAGCCGTATCTACCGTAGCCGTTACTGGCAAGATGCCCACGGGGAAATTCGTTCCAAACTACTCTTTGAGTCAGATGGCTTCAACAGTGTGCACACTCATACTGGCTGACACGCCCCACGGTCCGCAATGATGAGGACTGTAAATCCTATGCATTTCTGTCAAGATCCCTGTGACTCTGTGAACTCCTACCAACTTTGGCAAAATGATACTAGTGTCATCATAACGTCGCTCACCCATTTTTTCATACCTTGACCAGTCATTTTGATATGTTTGACAGCGTGCTTGACAGAGGATAGCAAGGCTTACAAAGTGCTAGAGAACGTTGTCCGATATTCACATGTATACAGTTTAGATTAGGTATGCTGGCACGCGCTTATAGGTTACAGCCCCCCCGCCTCAAGGTTATTACGCCAAAAATTCTTCTGAAACCGTTATCATTTCCAGCTTCTAGTAATTTCTGCAGAGAGACGGGCAAAAGAATCGTAAGCTGCCGCTTCGTCGCGCGCGGAAATGGTGGCGAAATTCCCTTAATTTGCACTACAATCTGCATCGGATTTCATGTAGACAAGGACATAGCAGACACTTATGTCTATGTGGTCATACATTGTCTATTCTCGACCAATATCACCTAAAACGTCGTCATTAGCGGCGCGACGTCGCACGCGACGCCCACTGGCGCGGCGAATTACGATTCTCTCGCCACATACCCATTTCTGCAAAACAAATGGTTCTAAGTTGAAGTTACACTGCGAATGCGTCTTACTTCTCCCACTATAATGTGGGAAAACCCTGAAATGGTCGAACTGAGTAAACAAAACGCGACGGTCAGGCCTACATCCACCGCGCTTGACGTTATTTCCGGCCGACTGCCACCTGCATGGTAACACCGTTAAGTCGTCATACACCTCTGGCCATAAAAACCAATGACTTATAATTGCATCAATCGGCACTCACAGCGGCGTCATTCGATAGCAACAAATTATCTTCGCAACATTATATCGCGCCCAACGATCACTCGCCCTTGTGAATGGACAGTAAGACTCTGGGAATGGAAAAAGGCAAAAAGGGAAGAAAATGAGGACGGGTTCGGCTCTCGGATCATTCATACAAGCCGAATCCAAAGCAAAAGTGTTTTTGCTGAAATGACCTTCAAGATCAGGCAAGGTCTGAGATTGCGCTTACTCCTCCCAAACGGATGAAAGCAGTGTAGCTTCGAGAAAACCTCTGAGGATAACTCAGCAAACGTCCCTCAGCTTTTCCAAGTAGGCAAGGAAGCTTATTCTTTGATCTAAAATAGGAATATTTCCTGGGAACTGCCTGTTTACATTTTCTGCAAAACCTAGCAGGTATCCTGTTTTCCCCTCTTCACAGCCTGAATTCGCTAAAGCACAGGCTACACAACTCGCTTTTTCATCTGTTCACCTATAAGCGAAAGCCACTGCAAGAACGAGGACATTCCAGTAAGGAAGTACACTCTGTTACAACCAAAAGAAGAAAACTTACTGCTCCACCAGTGGGAAATAGGCGAGGAACTCTGGGCAGTTCACTTGGCTGTCCAAAGTGAAATGAAACATCGCTCCAAACAACGGCGGTTGTGCCAATTGCTCCTTATTGTCATACCGTACACTACAGACTTCGTTACGGAATTCGCCGTCATTCTCACGCACAGACCACCTGAAATACTGACTATATCCTTTAATCTACAGGGTACTGATAGTAAACTTCAAATTTAAACGCGGTAGTTGTTGGACACAAGCAAATTTTTCTAGCAGTACAGTATCATTTCTCCCTTCTGCTCCCAAATGAAGATTTCGAGAGCTTGTTTTCACTTTTTCAAATTTACAGTTCCACTACTGATGCACTACTTTACTCAATTTGGAAAAAAAAGTTTAAGTCAACAACTGTGAAAACATTCGAGAAGGCACGATTAGTACGATAACGAAAAGGGCGGAAAAGCAATGTCTTCAAAGGGAGAAAAAAGCAAAGAAAAGTTTTAAAATTCATAAATCTCCGAAGTAGCCAAAGGATGGAGAACTTTTTATAAGTAGTCGTTCCACTGAAAGATTTCTAAAAGACTGAAAAATCATTCTAAGAATCATTTAGATGAGAAGGAAGAAGGAGAAGAAGAACTATTCAAATGTCAAACTTCTAGTGCTACTGGCTTGCAATCAAAGTTCTGAAAACCCAAGCCAGTTTTGGCACTAGGCTCGTTTAGTACGGGTAAAGAACAGTTAAATTGACGCCGTTTTTATGATGATAACTAGCTGATTTTAACGGGTCACAGTTCTTTTCGAAGTTTGTCACCCAGAATGCCTGAGGTTATGCGGCAAAAAGTCGAACCCGCACCTCACGCTTTCTGGGCGAGCGCGCTATCCGTTACGCCACCAGGGCCTTTTACCCTCTCAGCTCAATGGCTTTTATGTCTGGGGTTCGACTTTTGCCCATAACTCAGCATGATCTTGTGATTAACTTGAGCGTCGGCTGGCCATCGCAAGTCGTTAGGTAAAATCAGACCAAGGTTCAGAATTCAGAATGTTACTCCACTATTAACATACGTACTATTCTAAACGGAATGAAAATGAGTCGGCCCTTTATGATTACAAAGGCTTGGTCAATGCCGAAAGCTTTCTCCTCGAATGTCACCCTTACGATGAACTGGACCAAAAAGAAACCTTGTAGCGATGTGGTGTAGTGGCAAGTAACACGCTTACCGCACGCGATGTTCGGGGTTAAATCTTGGATCGACTCCCGGTCAGGCCCACCAGGCCTTCTACCCTCCGTCGACTAATTTGTACATCGACTGACCCTGCAAGTCATTGTATAGGCCACATCGCATTCAATAAGCCACTACGATTCTGAGTGGAAGTAGAATGCATGCCGCATCCCAAAAAGGGACTTGGCGAAGACTTTATCCTTCTTATTTCTACAAAATCAGTAAAAAAAATAGGCAGGTGAAAGACCATCGCCCACTTTCTAATGTTTTAGCCTTCCCTTTTGCCTTGAAAAATCACTTTCGCCGGTTTCTTCTCACCATAAGCAACATTCAAAAATTTCTAAGAGCTCGAAGGAGGAGAACAAATCTATTGAGT